GCATCCTCAAGGGGTACGGTAAACAAATGAAATACTGTCACTAAATGAGAGGCAGATGCAAAGAGAGATGGGGAGAGATGCAGTGAGGGTCATCTATAGAGTTGCAGCAGCGAAATGAGCAGGAAGACTGAAAGAAACTGATAGGAATCTCCCAATTTCATTTAATCCCAAATCACAGCACCACAGAAAATACAGCACTTTCGTGTAGCCTTAATCCAGTTTCACATTTTAAGACTACAGATAAAAAAAATAGCAAACTTGAATACATTTCACTACTAAGGCATATGAATCGTAGGCCACTCATGATTTTGGCGTTTTTTCTAGAAAAAAAGAGAATTTTGGCTATAAACAATCATTGTGGAAAAAAGCCACAAGAAAGAACATTCCGTCTCTCTTATAGCTGTAAACAAAAGTTAAAAATTAAGCAGAGTATTTCTCTTTAAAATGATACGCGAGTCCCTTGTCACTGTTTATAAAAACATGATAGCAATAATAAAAACACTTACAAAAACAGATTCTTACAATGCATCTTGGCAGTTAATTTGTCGAGCATGGAGATGCTCTGACTAGCTAATCCTTCCTCTGATTGGCTGCCATACACACCATATTCTCGGAAGTAGCTACATCAAAGTTGGAGGGAGAGAAGTCACAGTGTCTTTCAGCTTTCAGGATGGGTGGACAGGGATGGAAGGGTGGGGTTAAAGGTCGTCACTAAATTCTCCCATCAGAGGTGTAAGGGATGCGTATGTATGTGCGTGTGGATCGAGGTCGCTTCCCTGTTCACATGTGCCTTCCTGTCGTGTCAACCAATGGAAAGCATACACGCTACACCAGTCCCAGAGAAAAACAAGAAACACACAAAGACATGTGAAATACTTTCCAACCCTGGTCCAACACTTCACACACCTTTGGAGTAAACATACATTCAACTTATTTAAATGTTCTTGCAATCTAACGTCTTAACTAAACGAGTGTGTAAACTGGTTCGTATAACTATCGTAAATCAAGCAATATTTAAAAATATCAAGTCCAGTATTCATTCATAGGCTACAAACACTTAATATAAAAGTTAAAAAGCATCATGGCTAGTGCCTAATCTACCCCTCCAAACTAACTGGCTATTAGATTGAAGGTTCTTTTGAACAGACAATGTGTTATATTGGTTTAGTGTGCAGGAATGAGAGCATGCGGGTTCCTTTTCAAGCCCTGACTACACTGGGTGTGTGTGAGAGATCAGAACCAAGGTTAGAGACTCCAGTCTATAGTTAAAACTGACACAGCCACCGTCTTAAACCCAAGCACACACGTCAAACATACACCTGTGGCTTCTTTCTGACACACACACACACGCAGCACAAGGAAAGGAGAGGCAGAGAGGACGTGGAGCACACTATCGGAAGGGTGTTTCAGGGGTGTGTAGGGCGAGTTCGGGGGCGGCGGAGGAGGGGCTCCTTGTGCGACGGCGGTATCGCGCGGTGGCTCATACACGCGAGGTGTTGCCATTGCGATGGCAGGCACGGAGGCGGCGGGCAGGACTGGCCTGAGGGACTCGAGCGTTGCCACCTGCTGAGTCGGGACACCGGGCAAAGCCTGCAGTGCGGACATTGCTGCAAGGTGGTTGGGAGGTGGGTACGCGTACTGGTATTGTTGGATTGTTGGTATTGCTGCAGCTGCTGGTACTTGCTGGTAGTATTCCGCGTAATATCTGTGAGAAATGGAGAGAAAACACACATGCACATCCACACAGACAGGAAAAGAGAGACAGAAATCATGCATATACAAACAAATGTATACACCATTTGACAGGGACAGACACAGAAAACACAACACACACACACAACACACACACATCACCGCCACTGTTAATCGGAACTAAAACAGCCAACATTTACAACTTTTGATGTAATCGTTTATTATAGCCACGTTTCCACCGCAGGAACTTTCCCCAAGAATTAGGGACTTGTCCTCTGTGCGTTTCCACCGCAGGAACAAGGGTCTAAAAGAAGACTTTCACGCTCTGAAATTCCCTGCTTGCGAAGTACAACTTTTTCAAAGTTCAGGAACCTTCAGGGGTGGGACTTGAGCACTGAACATGACGCATTTGGATTGGTGTTAGGGATGCACCGATACCGATACCGGTATCTGGTATCGGCCTCGATACCACATTTTCTAAAGTACTCGTACTCGTTAAAAGTCCCCCGATACCGGGGACCGATACCATGTTCTGAGAAATGGGTTAATCACAGGCGCCGAGTGCCCACCCCCAGGCTCGGCTGCAGCTCAGAGCGGGGAGATGGGGAGACATGTCAGCCGTGAACAGTGATGCGCGGGTCAATGTATAAACAACCCGCACACTACAACGTTTTCAACTACCCGCCGCTACTCGGACCGCAAAAAAAGTAAGAAAATATTGTACCCGACCCTCTTCCTGACCGTATTTTTTAAAAAGTAGTACATGCTCATCGTAGCGTCATTGGGCCATAAACGTGTAACAACACAGCATCGCAAGAAGACGTAGCCTACATATAACAAAGGCAGCACTTTGGTCATCATCTTTCATTATGTCGGTAAATGTCTCCCACACTTACTCTTTCTATTTGTGTATTTGCGGAGCTTCCACTCCCCAGTCTTCACCTTTTCTCTTGCCGCCTCCATCTCTCTGCAGACTAGTGATCATAGACATGGCCGGTTCGTGAACGAATCGGTTCTTTTTAATGAACCGGTCGAACCAGTACGCTAAATCGAACTGAATCATTCGCATCAGTGCACGTCTTGCGTCAGTGCTGATCCACAAGTTACTACAGTTACTCACTTTCAGACATGCCTGACAGTCCCTCCGAGTTGAAATAAAACAATATCCCGAATTATATTTTACTCCAGTAACTCTAACAGTTCACTGAACTGAGACATGTTGTTGATACTGCTGATACTGCGCATCCGCGTATAGTAACGAACGCAGAGGTACAGCGGTTCTCGGATCACACCAGTACAGAACTGAGAACTGTTTAGACTGAGCTTGTGTGTCATCTTCGTGCCAGTTATTCAGCCACTAAATAAATTCGGCCTATATATTTCATAGAAAATTCAATCTAGTACTATATAAATACAAAGGTTTAATTGGCATTTTTTTTTCAAACGACCTGACCGACCGCGACCCGAATATCATTAAAAATATTTTTGGATGACCCGTAACTGCGGGTAACCGCGGGTGACCGCGGCGCAGGCACCCGCTCATTTTGGATCAACCCGTGCATCACTGGTGTGGAACAATTTCAAAGTGAATGGCTTTGGATTAGGAGAATAAGTTTACTTGTAGTCGCCAAGTTACTTATAGTCAGTTGAATGTCTGTTGGGGGACCAAATAAAGTGTTATCAGATATTAAGCTGATCGTACTAATACTCTAGTCTACTAATACTCTAATGACAGTTAGTTGACATGTAATTGAAAAGTTACTTAGTTAGTAAAGTGGACTATCGAAATAAAGTGTTACCCAAGTAATTTAATCAAGGGCCTAAAAACCCGTATATAAAAATATTTAAATCATGTTTTTTTTGTTTTTTTATTAAGTACTTGGTATCGGTATCGGCGAGTACTGAAATGCAAGTACTCGTACTCGTACTCGTTTTCCAAAAAAGTGGTATCGGTGCATCCCTAATTGGTGTACCACTTTTATCTGTTGCAGTGTGTGCAGGAATAGTTGTTTGCTACTCGAATGAACAATGGAGTTTAAAAAACACGACCGATGACTTTACTAAGTTCGGGCTTTATTGAGCTTTAAATCAGAGCGGGAACTGCAAAGTACCGTGCAGTAGAGCCAGACCGATATATCGGCCGGCCGATATTAGGCATTTTCCATAATATCAGTATCGGCAGTTATAATGGCAGATAAATGAATATTTAAAAAATAAAATAAAAATGGACGAAACACGCTTCAATCATCTCTCCTTGGCCTGTTATATTGAAAATGTATGTTTTACAATATTTGCAGTATGATGTTATCTATTGCTAAATTATGGCTCATCATAGACTACTAGCTAACCACAAAGCTAGCTAATGCCGCTATTATCAGTGGAAGACCGCTAACGTTAACATTAATGAGTTTGGAAACCACAATGAACTTTCTCTGCCTAAATAAAGTAATGATTACTGTATTTATAACTAGCATATCTCTAGTTAAAATGCCTGCATTGTAAAATGTAAGTTATACTTGCGAGGAGTGAACATTTAGATATAGAGAAAAAGTAATAAACGTATATTGCGCAGAAAAGTTAGCTTTTCTTTTACACGTGTGTGAAATCCAACAATATTTAAAAAAATAAAATAAAATATCGGCCGATATATCAGATTTTAAAACCCAAAAATATTTGTATCGGTATCGGCCTTCAAAATCCTTTATCTGTCGGGCTCTAGCGTGCAGTGCTACGTCACCATACTAATTTGCCTAATCTTTACGGTACTGTAGACTGCGGTGGACACGGACCGCAACAGGTCTCGGAAAAAAATAAAAAGTTCCTGGGACAAATTTTTCCAGATAATTTCGGTGGAAACGCGGCTTATGCGTCTTTAATTGAAATCAGCTCACCTGGCTATAGGGTCGTCCTCCTGTGCGGCGGCTTCCTCTCGACCTGCAGGTGTGGGCAACAAGGCTCTGCGCTTGGCCCTCTGGTACATAAATGGTTTCATAACAGGGTCAGGCAGAAGTGGGGCAGATCTTCTTAGTGGACTCCGGTCCCTCTCGCCAGACTTTGAGCTAGCCTGTTGCTGTTCAGCTAGCACTTGCTGTCCTTGTGCAAAGTAGTGTGCCCTTGCTGCCTCGAAGAAAGCTGCTGTGTCAGCTGCCCCAAGAGCCCCGTAAGCCGGGGACGTGCTGTAGAGAGCCGGTGCTACCGTATAAGCTGGGTTACCTCCTGGTACCTCCATGCTCGGTGCTGCGGTTAGAAACACTTGATTTGCCATGGCGGGCGTGTAAACCTGTTGACCGTATGCGGCGGCGGCTGCTGCGGCGGCTGCCACTGCGCCACTCGTCATCTGCCCATAGAAAGCTGGGTTAACGGAGCCATACATCTGTGCGGCAGCAGCGGCAGCACTGTTGTTGAGTGCCTGATTTGCAACTGTCCCACCGTAGAGCTGATTGGCCACTGTACCGTACACTTGACTAGCTAGCGCTCCGTAGACGGCTGGTGCCACCGCGGTTCCACCTTCGGCTCTTGCACCAGCAGCTGTAAGTCCAGTCAAAGCAGCATAGGTGGGGTCAAAAGTTGAGGTGTTGTATACCGAATTGTGGACGCTCTGCTGAACCTGTAGCGGGAGGCCGGCGGCGGCGGCAGCGGCGGCTGCTAACACGGCCGCTTGGCTCTGGTACTGCTCCAGGGTGGGCTTTCCAGCGGGGCATTCACCTGCATAGTGACCCTGTTTTCCGCAGCTCACACATGGGATTTTCCCAGTTGGTGCCTGTTTGCTTGGCTGAACTTTGGACAGCTCCACGGATAGTGGTCGTCCTTTGAAAGAGGTCCCGTGCAAGGCCTCAATAGCCTGCAGCGCATCTTCCTTGTTCTCCATGTGTACAAAAGCATAGCCTAATAAAGGAAAAGACAGGAGTGTTATTATTCAGGATTACCCACACTTTAAATCAGGGGAAGCCAACCCAGCTCCTGAAGAGATACCTGATTTTTGTGCATATCTGATCAGAATTAGCTTTCACACAAAAGGCGATTTCTACAAATCTGTTTCAAGCTACATCCATATGGTTTGAAATCCTATTTAAATCGCATTTCTGGAAATCCATTTCAGTCTGACCGCTCTGATCGGATTTCGTGTGGTTTATGCGAGACTCACGCCACGTAAAATGTACATGTCAGATGTCGTTATAGGAAACATCCTGAAAGTCGCTGCCAAAACAATGCTGTGTTGTTGCAAAGTGCCGGACTAGCAGAAAATGTCAATATAACGGAGACGACAGCGCGGAAGTAGCCTTAAAAGACGCATAGTCCAGTGTACAGCAACACATTTCCATGTTGTAAGATTTAAAGGGTTAGTTCACCCAAAAATGAAAATTCTGTCAGTATTTACTCACCCTCATGTTGTTCCAACCCCGTAAGACCTTCGTTCATCTTCGGAACACAAATTAAGATATTTAAGATATTAAGATCGCTCCTGCATACTAGTCCATAGGATTCTTGAGGGAATGACTCTTGCTGTCCCCGAAAAGTCATTAAAGACATCGTTAAAATAGTCCAAGTGACTACAGGGGCTCAATCTTAAGTTTATCAAACGACGAGAACACTTTTGTGCACAAAAAAAAATAACGACTTTATTTCAACTATTCGTTTATTTCTCCCTCTGCGCGAGTCAGGTTACTAGTTTAATAGCGTAAGCTTCTGTTATTGTACGTCACACGCATCACACACATGACCATCGTCGGCCAATAGTGAGCCTACGAGTGACGTAGCTTTACGCAATCACACTACGTTAACTGACTACAGGCCCATGGAGAAGGAAGTGAATAGTTGAAATAAAGTCATTATTTTTGTTTGTTTTTGCGCACAAAAAGTGTTCTCGTCGTTTGATAGTTAAAATTGAGCCACTGTAGTCACTTGGACTAGTTTAACGATGTCTTTAATGACTTTTCGATGCCAGCAAGAGTCATTCCCTCAAGAAGCCTATGGACTAGTATGCAGGAGCGATCTTAATATCTTAAATATCTTAATTTGTGTTCCGAAGATGAACGAAGGTCTTACGGGGTTGGAACAACATGAGGGTGAGTAAATACTGACAGAATTTTCATTTTTGGGTGAACTAACCCTTTAAATGAGACAACATCTCTATTGCAAACACCTCCATCATGTTGCGTTTGTTGTTGCCTACCAACACAACGTCATTGCCATAGAAATCAATGTCGATTCCGGAAAACGAAAGTCAAACACAAATCGGATCTGAACAGTTGCGATACACAATGTGGACATCTATAATTTTAGATCAGATTCCAAACGCATACACAAATAATTGGATTTGGACAGTGTGAAGTAGTCCTGAGCACATCAGGTGTGTTTGCTTACCCAGATAGCAAACTGACATTGAATCAACGTAGAAACGACGTTGATCTGACATGGTTTAGCTCATCGAATTTAAGTTGAACAAACGTCAGACGCACCATTATTCAAAACTAACGTAAAATCGACGCAGTTAGTTGCTTTCCTAACGTTGAAACGATGTTGATTTCAAGATGATTTTCCGTTAGTTTTGAAGAAAGGCGCGTCTGACGTTGGTTCAACGTTAATTCGATGAGCAAAACAACGTCAGATCAATGTTGTTTCAATGTCAGTTTGCTATCTGGGTAGGGTTGTAGCTGAACTCTGAAGGATAGTAGCCCTCCATGAGCAGGGTTGGGGGTCGGGGTTTTGCGACTACTCTCTTACCTTTCACCTTATCACACTCCAAAACTTTCCCAAAGGTCTGAAACAGCTCCTGGAGGTCTTCTGTGGTGCACATACTACTCAGATTACCCACAAACACCTTCGTCGAGTGGAGTGGGCGTCCTCGGGATTCCTCGACCACGAGGTTACGACCTTTAAACTCTCGGCCATTGAGCTCCCGAATGGCACGTTCAGCAGCGCCCTCCCCTTGTAGGTGTACGAAAGCAAACTGCCTCAGAACGCTACAGCTAACAACCTGGCCGTATGACTCAAAGATGGCTGACAGTTCTTCTTGCGTGGTATCCAGGGCCAGATTCCCTACGAAGAGCTTAACCGTGTGGCCCTTATCCATTGTGCTGTATTTAGTAAAAGACAAGGACATAAAAGCATGTGTAAGTACAATTTTAAAAGTGAGGGTTAAGTATTCCCTTACAAAATGGGACAGTGACGACATCAGATACTAATAATTATTCCATCCATGGTCTTATAGTACTCTGAAATAAATACCATGATATTTGTGATCGTGAATGATTATCGTACTCAAGTGCTTCATACACCACGGTGGTAATTATGGATGAAAATTAGATAACCGACAATTCTTTAAATTTGCCAACCGATAACTGATATATTGGCCAACTACGTAAATTGTATATCATTTTTGAGAGCCTGATTACAAAAACACTTACCTTTAAATCCATGTCCCAAGCACACAAGTATAATGATGTTGTCTTACGTAGCCTAGGCTATGACAGACTTGCTAAGTGAAGTTTAAGTTAAAGTTTGCATGTTGCACTTAACTGTATTTTCCTATTTGAAGTGATTCCAATCATATTTCATGCAATTCAAAAACATAATGGTGAACAGCCGAAGTGTCTCAGCTGATGGAAATCATAATTTTTTTATTGATTTAAGATAATCGGGCAAATTCTCTTATCGGGCCAATGACGATAACATTAAAAATGGACATTTAGCCAATACCGATATATTGTAGTAATACCATGGTTTTCAGACATGCCCCCAAAACAACAACAGTATCGTTTTGTACCTTATTGTTAGTATTATTTCCCACTAATTGGGAAAAACCTTGTATATACAGGTGGGGAGAGGGAATAATAGTTCCATAACGCTTAGTCTTTAGTGAAAACAAAACAACATAATGTGTTAATTCTGTTGTTTGACGTGACAAAAGTCCCGAGTTACAGTAGATGACCATGTTTTCGTCACAACAATATCTTTAAAAATACATATCAAATACTAACACATTAACAACATAACATTATTCAGCACACATACGGAATATATCGATTTATTCAGCATTTAATGAAAATAATTTGTTGCAGTCACAAAGCCACCGTAATCTGATGACGCAGAGTAAACACATTGACTGACTTCCTCAATCCAACAGCTCACGGAACAAACACACACACAAACATCACTCTAAAGGATAATTGTTTTCTTCTAACCCTGACACATCCTTCAAACCCTTTTATAAATGTATAAAAGAGTGAGAAACGCTGACTCGCCGTTCTGGCGTCAACAACAACTCGCGAGTGTCGACTGATTTACTGAATGTAACATTTCTGACACCAGATGTTTACAAAACACTCGCAATCTCTTCCGTCATCAACACCGCGAATGTTGCATCTACATCGTTTTAGATTTTATTGTAAATAAGTGCATTATTCTATTCATTCTTTCCAAAAATAAATCTCTCTAGATGACTCATTTTGGGAGGATTTTTTTTTTTTTTTTTTTTGGAGTGTCCCGCGCCCCACAAACCCCTTCGCGTTTGTCTATAAATCACACCGCGAGCTCGGATACATCATTCCGCGTTTCATTGGCAATCATTACCTATTGGTTCTATATGATGAATTATGGAATTGCTTTAAACATAAACAAATATAGAGAGGAAAAAAATCTTCCATCTTACCTAAGCGGTGCGGGGTTTCAAAATGGTCGGTCCACTTCCGTTCTTTAGAAACGCTCTCATTCTTCAGCAGAGGACTGAGTGAGCGCGTGCTGATGCGCACACACACACACACACTGCGTGCATCTCCATTGCATGCACACGATGCATCATTTTTATGTTACAGGAATTTAACAAAACTTAACTCACAGCAAGCAGAGACCTTGCAAATTATAGTACTTTAACTGCACCATATAAACCACATGTTTGTTTTGTTAAACTCTCTGAACCTGATATATGCATGCATGGTAAGCAACTTTGTATTGTTTTGTTTTTTTAATTAATAACAATTTTGCATACCACAATAAATAAATGATTTTTTTGGCAAAACAGACGCTTGCTTTTTTATTGGGATCAAATATGTAAAATAAAAAAATAATCACAGCACCTTTGTCCATTTTTGTTAGTGGGAACATTATTAAACGTGCTTTATCTGTACAACAACAGTAAACAAAAAAACATTACAAACAATACAACAATTAATAAATTAAGACACTTGCGGTCAGTTAGCCAATGGGAAATTCATTTTAAAGTGATTAGATTAGACTTTTTGAAAATGCGTACAAATCGCCCCATTGAAACACGTTTAAGTTTTTTTTTAATCACTCATTGTATAAAAATATTTGTTTAAACTTTGATTTTGAAGTTGTGTGTAAAATCAGACAAACTAAAGCATAACGGATTGAATTGTAACTATGAAATACAGCTATACATCCATGGTTTGATTTCTGTGTTTGGTCTCGTTCCTTCCATACATCTGTCTGTGTGTGTGTGAAGCTCGACCCACTACAGATGAGCTGCCGGCGTGTCAGTGACTCTGCGTCCTGTCCCAGCGATGGGCCGATCTCTCTCCTCCCACAGGGTCACACCATCACAGGCACAAATCTGTTTCGGGTTCTGAAACAAGCCGGCCGATCGAGCGATGATTCCACACGCCAGCCTGAGATCGGAGAGAGAGAGTGGACATTAAGCAAACACACACACACACAGTCCACTGAAGAACATGAAACACAAGCACATTAGCTCCGCACAGTAAATACCTAGATAGTTTAACACGAGAGCCATTCCACCGAATGGGGGACATTTCTGTCCCCAGGACCTTATATGTATAAAATTGCATGAAAATTATCTCTAAAATACATTTTATTATTAAGCAAAATGTCATGCACATTTAGCTAACTACAAATTTAAAACGTATAGTTAAAAACATTAACAAAAACGACACAGAACACTAAAAAACAGCATTTTCTTAATGTCCCAACTCTCTATCTCTTATAACTTTACCATGAAATATTATGATTAAAATCCTTCAGAAATCTGATTTTTCTTGCATTGTTGTGTGACTTTATATCCAAAATGCTTTAAAAGAAAAAAAGAAAAAAATATTTGATCTAATATTTTTGATAAAATACACATTTTAGTCATGTCCCCAGGTTTTCACTCAGTCCTGTTACACTATTCCATCCCCCCGCTGAATAACGTAGAATATTACTCAAGACACATTTTCAACAAGAAGTTTCATCATCTGGATCTTCTGAAGGCAATAAGTCACTCCTCTCATTTTTGTTTCTGTATACTGTATTTGATGAAATTGTAACAATGAATGAGAAGGTCAATCTCAACATACAGTCCTGTTATCTAAACGTTTTCTTAGATTTAATTGTTTTATTTTAAAAATATTAACTTTTGGTAAGGCACTAGAAATGGCTCAGTGTCCTCACGCTATTAGCATCAATGCTATGTGGCCATATATTTGATATATGCTTTTTTCCTTAAAAACTCAATCCTGTTACCTTCAGTCCTGTTACTATTTGTTTCTTTTTCTAAAAAAAATAAAACGAAACCACTATTTTTATCATTTTTCTTTGGCCCATAATTTATACAATTATTTAATGAATTAATTCTAAAAAAAATGATAAGCTTGAGGCTTCGGTCGTCTTTAAAATGAAAAAATGCCTTTGTGTTTTTCATATCAAAATACACCTTGCTTTAATAGTGATTTTATTGGCACAAATATCAATTTTTAGAAAATATAACCAACAGTTTCTTTAAAATAAACACTTTCTTGTGGGGAAAACAAAGGAATTAATTGACATGCTTCTAAACTTGCTTTTTAAATGACACATGATTTTTGGTAACCGGATTGAGAAAACATGCTTCCATATTCTGCTTAAACCTTGTAAAAAATAAATAAAGTTGCCTGAGATTGACCAATACACATTTTGAATAGTTAAATATGTGTAGTATTAGATTCAAAGTTGAAAAAGATCAAAAATAAAGTTTATTTTTGAAGAGTTTCAACAAGCAAATGTCACGGGAAAATTGTTTGTGTTCAGAAACTCACACAGGATTGGAACAACGAGAGGGCGAGTAAATAATACAGAATTTACATATTTGGGGGAACTTTAAATCAGCTCATTATACATTAGAAGAAGCGTTTCATCTTTATTTTAAATCTCTGTCATCATGTTTTTCTTTGGATAAGTCAGCAGACACAAGAACCCAACATTAGTTACATTAGTCTGACAGTTAAGAGCTAGACATTATATAATAAGTCAGTCCATATAATAAAATCTATAATAAAGTAATAAAATTCATGCCAATCAAATGCAATGTAGCAGGTTTCCTACGACATAAGTATACTCAACTTTATCCACATACATCCAGTACACTAGAGTGATTATATATAGCAAATCTCAACAGTTTGATGGTTTGTATCATCGCAAAACTCACCCAGCTCTATTTATGAAGTTGTATATAGAAGTAGATCCATATATCCAGAAACACGACCGTAAAGCACAGCATGATTGTGTCTGACACTGCTCTGTTGTGAAAAGTGCTACACAATTAAAACTGACCTGTCTCCTGAGTTTCCTGTTATTTTGGACAGCAGGTGATTCCCACGGCCCAGATCATCCTCCCCAGAATCCACCACCAGAGATCGGCCAATCACGTCCCACACCTGCCCAACAGAGTGACATCATCACAGCATGAACACGCACCAAACGCTTTGGTAAATCAGAGCATTTTCATTTACACTGAACGATATAAGAGTTAGAGAGGAGATGTGGCCGTGAAACAGAAGGTCAGTGTAATTAACAATACCAGAGACTTTAGATGATCTGCCTCGGGTTCATGAACACACACATCTGAGACCGCAGCTGTGTTACCTTTATCTGAGAGTCTTCTAGCCGGAACGAAGCTCTTCCGTCGGGACCTGCCGTCACGTTTCCCAGATCGCCCACGTGCTGGAGCACACACACAGTCACAGCGTTAAACACACACCTAGAGTCAATGTAAATATACAAATAAAACGATGACAATATATAATAATAATAAAAAAATGTATTAAAAACATTAAAAATATATAGTACATTTGTTATTAATACATAACCAAATTAAATGTATAATATAATAAAAATATACATTATATAATACAAAAATAACATATATAATACTATTTAAAAAATAAATAAATTATATTTTTATAAATAAGTATAATATATTTATATATGTATATTTATACTTATTTATAAATTGATTTAAATAAAATTATTTTAATTATAAATATTATAAACATTCAGAATTTTTTAAGCATTACGTTTTTAAGCATTATTTTAAGCACATGCAATTTTTTATTAATACTTTTTCTACACAGAATTACCATAGCTAAATATTTAAATATATAAATAAAGTCATTAAAAACACATTACTTATTAATAAATTGCATATAATAAATCATTTGCTGCTTCTACTACAGTATTGCCATAGTTTTAGGACATTTTAAACACTGTAAAACACTTAGATACTGTATACAGAATACACCGGGGCTAGTTGTCAACTTCATAACTGATATGGTTTATTAAAAAAGAATAAAAAAACAACATTCATTAACTATAAGGTTTGCATGAGGTGTGAACAAGTGTAGAATCTGTGTTCAATAATGTGAGTACATTAAAAATCTGCAGGGCTTTAAGGCGCGCGTGTGTGTGTGTGTGTGTGTGTGTGTCCAGAAGCTGATATGAAGTACATGTACCCTGTCTGCATCCTGAGGAGCTCCGTGGGGTTTCCCGAACGGATTGAAGTGATCTCCACAGCTGAAGGACACACAGCACACATATAATCATCATTAACCCATCGTAACCAACACAGACTGCCGTGTGAGCTAAAGGTGAAAGGTCAAGGGTCGTGATACCTCCTGCAGTCCTGTGTGAGGTCGCCGAGCTCGTGCACGTGCAGGCCGTGCGCTCCTGGCTGCAGCCCGTCAATCGTCCCGTCGATCAAACAGCGTTCCTGTGACAACTGCAGGAACCGGACCACGCCCTGCACAAGCCCCACCCCCTGGACCATCGCCACGGCAGCGCCCAGGTCTGACAACAACACACACAGCGATCTCTGCTTAAACAAATTCACTAACTTAATGAAGAACTTTACAGCCATGACGGAAGTAGAACAGATAAAGATAATATTAGTAGAGGGTCTATATAGCTAATTTTGCTCTTTAAGAGAACTGTGCGGGGGTGAATTTTTTATAACTCATCCATTTAAATTATATTAAGCCTTAAAGTTCTGCATAATTAGGGGCGTGGCCACTTGAGTGACATGTGGAGCCACTGATGTCACTACTAGCCGTTCGTCTGCTGTCTGTTAGCGTCACCTCAGCAAATACGTTTTGCCTATTTTCGTTTACCCAGGAGTGACACTCAGCCAAGATGGCGAGGGCCGGCTCCGCCCACTTTAGACTTCAAAAATGCTGTTCGGAAACCTACGGGTGACGTCACGGACACTACGTCCATATGTTTTTACAGTCTGTGGTTTGACACTAGCAGTGTTGGGTTCACACCATAGACTGTAAAAAATATGGACGTAGTGTCCGTGACGTCACCCATAGGTTTCTGAAGAGCGATTTTGAGGCCTAAAGTGGGCGGGGCCGACCGTCGCCATCTTGGCAGTGCGTCACCTCTCGTCACTACCGGATAAATTAAAATGGGCAAAGAGGCGGGACGCGGGTGGAGCTGAGGTGCTAATGCTATGCTACTGCCGCTGAATTGACAGCTGATTTAAAAAGTAAAGCCAATGGTTAAAGTTCATGTTTTGCCCTTCGAAATATTATAATAGTTAAGACGTAACTAAAAGTGAAACTACTTTACTTTATCAACTTTATTAATCTCACAAGGGGCAATTAGTTAAGAGCATACAAGTACATTAACACAGATCACACATTTCTCAAAACATACAAGCAGTCAACTATGTGCATTGTGATGCATTATTATTCTGCTAGTTAAAATGTATAAGTTACTTACAATATTGCTCTAAGCTTGTGCATGCGACAGTGATTCAAGGCAAGCACACATGTCAGTCGGCATCTCACGTCAAGTTCGTAAAGAGCTTTAATTCAGTCCATTTTACAATCCGATTTTGGCCGCCTCTCAGTTTCTCAGATGGGTCAAACCAAATATTACCTCAGAAATTCAAGTAAATGAACTAGAAATCCGCGCTCATTCAAGGGTGTGCATCTATTGCATGGACGGAGAGAAAGCACTGAAAACATCGGACATCCATTAGTGCATGCGAGGGAAACAGCTGGAAACACGGCGCTGGTCGATCTCTCCATACTCAACACGACGGAATCCAACGGCGTGCACGGGCGAAGGTATAATACATGTATTAAACTGTATGAAATAATCCCGGTAAAGCACAAACACAGCTGACGGTGACGCTAACAGACAGCTGACAAACGACAGTGAGTGAACGCGGCAGCAAGAATCCACCTGTCACTCAAGTGGCCACGCCCTTAATTATGCAGAACTTTAAGGCTTAAATATAATTTAAACAGATGAGTTGTAAAAAAATTCACCCCCCTCACAGTTGTCATGAAGGGAAAAATGAGCTCTATAGACCAAAGCCACTTTTTGCTCCAGGCTGTAAACATGTTTTTTTCTGCTGTAAAGTTGGGCATTTTAACATGGGGGAGATACAGATTTGACTCGCTTCTGCAGCCTGCCTCAAGCGGCCACTCGATAAATTGCAGTTTAATTCACTTCCGTATTGGCTTCAAGAGAGAGACGGGGAGGTTGCCGCTTGGTTCACACCTGATTCTGAGCCGCCCATTCCCTTCAGCACCGCCCGTCTGCCTGTGCTCTCTATCAGAGTCTGGACCTGTGAAGACGTCAGCGCCGTTTCAACCAGAACCTCCTCCTTACCCAGGTTTACCTGCACCGACTGCACTCCTAAACACACACACATATGAATGAGATAATAGCTCACGACACAGAAAAGTGTTTCATGTTGTGCTCGACTCACCTGGTTCTTTCTCCAAAACGCCCTTTACTGCATTAACACAGCGGTCACATGACATCTGCACCGCAAACTCAAGCTGTGCAAAAAGGAAATTAATGTGGATATCTATATTTATATACAGTATATTACACACACGCACACACACACACACACATATATATATATATATATATAAACATTAGTGCTGTCAAATCACAATTCATCATTAAACACGCTATTTAAACAAACTTTGAAACTTTTAGATCGTTTTGACAGCACTATAGCATGAATGACGAAGCATGGATGACTTTTATATGACGTTTAGCATTTTACACGGAATACTGTCATGTCAGACATTAAAAATCATACTTATGTCTGTATAACATTCCCGAAGGTGTTTGGCAGTTTCATAAGTCGAAATAAAAAATAAAGTATAATAAAACCACAACAGCTTATAAAAAAGAAGAGGTAAATAACTGCGCAAGCCCTCAAAGATAACACGTTATGGAAACTGACAAAAACATTAATATGAACTTTAAATTTGAGTTGAAAGACAGATGTTATTATACAGTTGGCCTGCTCATATTCTTATTTTTCAAACAATTTCAATTTAACACAACTTTATATTTAATAAATGTAATTAAAGCCCTAAATAAGTGTGATTACAGTATTTATTTTCAAAATAATTAATCTTTAAGTCATTACTCTCACCTTTGCTGTTCTGTTTGAGTCCATCTCTGTTTCGCACGCTGATAATGACGTATGCGGAAGTTCCGCGTTCAGAAAACGTATTAAAATAAAAGTCCTATTAAGAAAACACAAAATGCCTAAACACAATAAGAGTCCCAGATGAACATGCAGGAGAGGCTCTAATAATTTTAGTTTAACTTTGAATAAACAAACATTTAATCGAATAAAAATAACCAAACTAACCAAAAACTTTAGCATTCTTAGAATTATTTTTGTTATGATGGTTGGAGCCAGAAATAAATCATTATTTCCTTTATTTTTAACCAGGAAAGTCACATTGAGATATTACTATCTCTTCTTCCAGAGAGACCTGGTCAAGACGGCAGCACAAGAAGTTTCATACACAAGAATCACAGAATAAAATACCACAATTTACACATCACAAACAACATGGATAAAGACGAGTTAAGAAAAACAATTGCAATTGTCCTTTAAAACATTGGGCAAGAGACGTTTAAAGGAGGTCAGAGTTGGGAGTGCATCTAGATTCAATACATTTTGTAAATCATTCCAACTCAGAGGGGCGTAAAAAGAAAAAGCACTTTTACCAAATTCTGACAGAACCCTTGGGACTTTTAGCCGGAGATGAGAGCCAGACCTAGTTTGGTAGGTATTTGTGTGATAAATTAAAAGATTTGATATGTAGGAAGGTAACTTACCTAAAAGTGCTTTTGCAATAAATAAGTGCATGTGTAGTTTTCTCCTTTGATTTAAAGATGACCAAGCTAAAGAATCATAAAGAATACAATGATGTGTCCGTGGCTCTGCACCAGAAGTGTTTTAATTTATTCTAATTGAATGATTTTCAGGATGTGTGTTGTGTGCAAATCATCAGCATGATACTTACAGTATACGAGATCAGAAACAAACCTCAAGTTAGCATTTTCTCATTTTATTGAAAAATATCTCAAATACCAAAATAATTGGATGTACACCACAGTAGATTCACAGAGTTGTTCGTATAATACAATATTCACAGTTATATTCATATAAAATCTACACGTCTGTTTTCTGTTCTTCATTTGCTGCTGTTGTTAAATGTTCTGGGAAACTGAGGCCTTTCTCCAGGGCGTAGGATCTCCAGTGCTCGTCATCCGCCTCGTGAGTGAGATAGCGATACCCAATCCCCTGCTCGAACCCGCGCAGGTCACACCACATCTGGAAGTTCTGCGGGACACACGGACAACACGTGCATACATGATCCTGCGTTCATCTGTCCATCTATTCATGCTCTGAATCTGACTTCAGCTGTTTTAGCAAATTAAACATGCCAGGAAAATATCATTGGATTTGGTTGATTGTTTGGGAAAGTCACCAGACCTGAAACCAGGGATGACCCATGGCTTTGCCAACGCTGAACCTGCGTCTCACCACCACCTGCAGCAGGTTATTGATCAGATTCACCGCTGAGAGAGAGAGAGAGAGAGATTTACAAAAAGAAGGAAATTAACCCCTCATGTATGTCTCACACTTGACTCAAACAGAAGACACTGAAGACAATAAGAGTGACTATTTGTTAAAAATTAAATGAATGTAGCTTCCTATATTTTGTTATAATAATATTTATACTTTAATATTTTATATTTTGAGTGGATTTCATGGAGATCACCTCTAAACTATGCACTGTTTATTTTAATATTAATTGTATTAATACAGTGTTAAAAAATAGAGCGAGGTATTTAACGTCCAAATCATGGAAGACAGATTGGCGTCAACTGGTCGGAGAAATAATGAAAATCATATGTATTACAAAATATAATAGTGCTGTCAAACCGATTGTTTGCGATTAATCCCATCTAAAATAAAAGTTTGTAGATATAATACACATCTTACATTTCATATTGTTGATTGGTGACAAACATGAAGCAGAGCAACCACTCGGTGTATAGATATGCCTATAATGACCCTAAAATTGAGATATCAGGGCAAAAATGCCTGTGTTTTTCTCTCATATTTATATCATATGATATAGTTAAGGAATATCACACGAGTAACGTTAGCAATAACACAAGTAATGTGTGAAAACAAAAAACAGCCATTATGTTAAGACTGTTTAAAGTTCTCGTACAGTTAGTCAGGGGCAGTCAGTCGTACTTTTCGCGGTATCAAACTTTCGCGGTATCAAACTTTAAAAAAGCTATGAACAGTCTTAAAGAAAAAAAATGTATGAAACGTAATGTAAAAAACTTTTAAGCTGCGATTATTTACGATTAATCGATTTGACAGCACATAATACATGAGAGTAAGTAAGTGATAACCAGATCAGAGACCACAAAACTAATAACATATTTCCCCAATTTAACATCTGTAATCCAATCCAAAAACTCTGATATAGCTCAAATATAGATCAACTTTAGCTGAAATATAGCTCAAGTATAGCTGAAAAATAGATAAAAAATACATCAAGTATAGATCAAATATAGCTCAGATATAGATCAAGTATAAATCAATTATAGCTCAAATGTAGCTCAAATATAAATCAAATATAGCTCAAATATAGATCAACTTTAGCTGAAATATAGCTCAAATATAGATTAAGTATAGATCCAATATAGCTCAAATATAGATCAAATATAGATCAAATATAGATCAAATATAATTGAAAAAAGGATCAAATATAAATCAAATATAGCTCAAATATAGATCAAATATAGATCAAAACTAGATCAAATATAGATCAAATATAGCTCAAAACTAGATCAAATATAGATCAAATATAGCTGAAATATAGATCAAATATAGATCAAATATAATTGAAAAAAGGATCAAATATAAATCAAATATAGCCCAAATATAGATCAAATATAGCTCAAATATAGCTCACATATAGATCAAAACTAGATCAAATATAGATCAAATATAGCTCAAAACTAGATCAAATATAGATCAAATATAGCTCAAATATACATAGCTAAATTTTTTAACATCTGGTCACATCCTACCTCCTTATTTTATTTATCAATCTTTGTTTATTTTATTATTATTGTTTTATGCTATCAGTATTATTATTTTGTGTACTAAATGTTCTAAATCCTTTTCTATGTCGTTTTGATGCTTTGGCAATACAAAATGTATTTTTTGTCATGCCAATAAAGCTTTCTGAATTGAATCGATAACAGAAGTGTTGGTGAAGTCTCCCTGTAAAGCATCATTCGTCCGTCTCACCCTCCAGCGAGATGAGGGACCACGGCTGCCGCGGATACATGAACGAGGCGTTCGTGATCTGCTGATTGATGTCCTCGTCCTCGTTGAAAGGGAACGTCCCGCTCAGACTGACGTATAGGATCACCCCCACGGCCCACATGTCCAGAGAGCGGTTGTAGCCGTGACTCCTGATGACCTCGGGCGCCAGATACGCAGGCGTCCCGACCACCGAGCGCCGGAACGACTTCTCTCCGATGATGCGAGCGAAACCAAAGTCACACAGTTTGACCTGAAACAGAGACCGTCATCACATTCGAGACTTCCGAAGAGCAAATGCTTGTTATTCTTTATATGCGACACATGCAATTCTAGACTTTACTCAAAATAGCTGAATTTTCAGACCTGAGGAAACGGTTCGGGTGACGCCAGAAGCACATTTTCTGGTTTCAGGTCGCAGTGTGCGATGTGCCTCAGGTGCAGGTACCTCAGAGCCTCCAAAACCTTCAGCAACACATACACAGGTCAGAGAGGAGAGACAGCGCTTGTGCATGAGGGCAGAACAACACTTCTTTAGTCTCAAATTTTCTTTGAATACATCATTTTATGAAATCTATAAGAACATACAGTAAAATATGAGAAGAACCAGGATGAACTCCATTGACTTTGATTGATTTAATTACATTCATTTTGATGACTGCTGAAAACAAAATGTGTCACAATTTAAAATAAATGGTCATATTTATTTTTAGAAATCTGAAAAAATAAGAGTATTTTGTCAGTCTTAACATATATCCAAAGTTTATTTTTGTACTTTTGTATTATTTTTTTTAGTCAAAACTAATCTGACGGTTAAGTGGATTAGTGTGTGATTCATGCACGACTGTTTTCAACATCGATAATAATCATAAATGTTTCTTGATCATCAAATCATCCTATTAGAGTGATTTCTGAAGGATCATGTGACTCTGAAGACTGGAGTAATGATGCTGAAAATACAGCTTTGATCACAGGAATAAATTACATACTATTATATATTCACATAGAAACAAATAATATTTATTAACACAATATTAATATATTTTACTGTATTTTTCTATCAAATAAATGCAGCGGTGCTGAGCAGAGGAGAATAAAACAACCACCTGGAAACGTAGAAATTTTAGCTCTTAAAGGGGTAGTTCACTTTTCAAAAAAATTTGCTGATAATTTCCTCACCCCCATGTCATCCAAGATGTCCATGTCTTTCTTTCTTCAGTTGAAAAGAAATTAAGGTTTTTGATGAAAACATTCCAGGATTTTCTCCATATAATGGACTTCAATGGGGACCAAACGGTTCAAGGTCCAAAAGATACTTTCAGTACAAACTGCAAACTGTTGAAAGGGCTTTAAACGACACCAGACGATGAATAAGGGTCTTATCAAGCGAAATGATCGCTCATTTAATAAATAAATAACAAAGTTTAAGTTTTATAAGCTCAAATGCTCGCCTTGCTCTGTTCTGTGATGCGCGTTCGTGAAAATGAACAAATCTTTTTCCGAGTCAATTCGTTCGTTTTGTTCGTTGAATGAACCAAATGACTCTGAAAAAGATTCGTTAATTTTGATAAACGAGTTTGAACAGGAGAGTCACGAACGCTCATCACTAGGGTTGGGTATCGTTTGAATTTGAACGATTTCGATTCCGGTTCCTAACGATTCTCGATTCCGATTCTTTTAAGAGGCAGGGTCAAAAAAGTTTAGCTAACCTTGCTAACCAACGGCCTTTCTGAAGGAAATACTCCTTCTGTAAAAATACTCCTTTTGTCACAAATTTTGCATTTTGCCGAGATTTCGTTATTTTTAGAAAAGTGAAGCCACACTTCGGATCGCCGACGTAAGCTACTCATGTTCGACTCGCGCGGTTATGCCAACACTTCCGGTAGACGCTTCTTCGTTGGTGTTGTTCCGCTCGGCGGACTGTGAATATCAAAACTAGGAATCGAAATTTTAACTTTTGAACGATTCCGGGAAAAACGAAAAGTTAGTCTCGGTTCCAATCGATACTCGATTCTCGATACCCAACCCTACTCATCACAGAACAGAGCAAGGCAAGCATTTGAGCTTATAAAACTTTAACTTTGTTATTTATTTATTAAATGAGCGATCGTTTCGCTTGATAAGACCCTTATTCATCGTCTGGAATCGTTTAAAGCCCTTTGAACAGTTTGCAGTTTGCACAAGTTTGTCATTTGGACCCTGAACCGTTTGGTTCCCATTGAAGTCCATTATATGGAGAAAATCCTGGAATGTTTTCATCTAAAACCTTAATTTTGTAAATTAAATTATCAGCAAACGTTTCTTTAAAAGTGAACTACTCCTTTAAGGTTAGAAAAAAGTTATTCCTAACTTTAGCAATCGGTTCCCCCCAAAAATGGGCGTACGTAACGTGTAGTCGTGTGTTTTCACTGGGTACCTGAGTGACGAGGAAGCGCGCGGTGCGTTCAGGCAGACGTCCGCTCTCGTGAGATAAAATCATCTCTAACATGTCACTGTGGAGCTTCTCCATCACAACGAACGTGTACTCCATCGTCTCAAACATGCCTTCCAAACAAATGACTCCTGGATGAGACAATTTCTGAAACACACACACACACAAGATATAACAACAACAAAAGCAACAGAATCGGTTTGATTTGTGTGTGTAAACACATACCTGCAATATCGAAACCTCGTTTTTAGTCTGCGTCTCCTGTTTGGAGGGAAAGCGTGTTTTATCGATGACTTTAACAGCGACGGGACGTCCCGACTGCCTGTGTGTGCCTCCGTAAACCACCCCGAACTGACCCGAACCCAGAACCTCATCAGAGAAGATCTGATACAGCTCACTGATGTCCTGCAACACACACACACAGGTTATTCTGTGAAACACGGCGGGTGTTGCTTTAGGAAACATCTTCACAGTAAATAACTGAGAGCGTCACCTGAGTCTCGACGCCGTGCTCTCCTTCACCTGCCGGGACACCGGGACACACTTTAGGAAACATTATAGACACGCACAACACTAAAACACTCACAATACAGTCTCATTTGTCAATTAATGCAACATGAACAATGTTTTTCAGCATCTTTGTTGATGTTGGTTAGTGAAAACACTGTTCTTTGTTGGTTTGTGCATCAATATTATGTATGTAGCAATATATTAAAAGTTGTATACATGTCTATCTAACTGTATCCTCATCAGTGTTGGGTAAGTTACTCTAAAAAAGTAATTAATTACTAGTTACTAATTACCTCTTCAACAGTTTAATTAGATTACTGTACTAATTACTCTCTCTAAAAAGTATTTAATTACTAATTACTTTCAAAATCCCATATCAATCTCAACCAGCTGAATAATACAAGGATAGACATGAATCTGTTTTAATTCTTTCAAATAAATACTATAAAATTGCATGAATTATCCTTAAACTGACCAAGATGGAGAAGGTTACATTATAAAAACATACTTTTTAACATCAGACAATACATTTTGATGTTAAACCCACTATTGTTTTATGTCTGATCTCATGACATTTCACACTTTTTTCATACATATTTTACAATAATTCATACGAATTTGTACGAGTGTGGTCGTAATATTTAGACACCTCATAAAACGCATACGAATCGCTGTGAGATCGGATTGATCTATACACAGTATTTACCTCAATTACATCAGAAGTAACTAATTAAATTACAGATAAATGAAGAGTAATCCCTTACTTTACATTTTCAAGGTTACTTAGTAATTAGTTACACCCAACACTGATCCTCATACATACAGTACACACACACACACATCTACATCTATATACTATATAGTAAATCTCAACTGCTTGTATCATCGCTAAGGAAGTGTAAAAGCCACTCAGGACTGTGTCCTCATAAATCACGTTATAAAAGAATACACACGCCATTACACACACACTTCTGTCA